TTAAAAAGAGAGATCATATCTCTCCTATCCTGGCTTCTCTTCATTGGCTTCCAGTTAAATCCAGAATAAAATTTAAAATCCTCCTTCTCACATATAAAGCCGTAAATGGCCAAGCTCGATCTTATATCAGAGAGCTGATTGTTCCTCATGTCCCTAACAGAGCACTTCGCTCTCAATCTGTCGGTTTACTAGTGGTTCCTAAAATTTATAAAAATAGAATGGGAGGCAGATCTTTTAGTTATCAGGCTCCTCTCCTGTAGAACGAACTACCAGTTTTAGTCCGTGAGGCAGACACCCTGTCTACTTTTAAGGCCAGGCTTAAAACTTTCCTTTTTGATAAAGCTTATAGTTAGGGTGGCTCGGGTTATCCTGAGCTATCTCTATAGTTATGCTGCTATAGGCTTAGACTTCTGGAGGACATAGGGACCCCCATTTCATCATTCTGCTTCATTCTCTCTCTATCTCCTATTCTGCAGAATCTGATAGTTCAATCTCTAACGTTCTGCTCTCTCTGCTTTTCCTCAGAGTAGCTTTGCCTCATCTGTTCCTGTTTGGCTGTGACGGCATCCTGGAAAGAAACATCAGCTGTGCTGCTTCCATCAACACCCTTGTTTATAGATGCTGGAGATCGGCCTGTTTTCCAGTGTGGTCCTGTTCCTCTGACCGTGACTGAGTGGATGTGCTCTCTTCGTCCTCTGGCATGGGAGCTGGCTCGGAGCTTGTCTGCCTGGCTGTGTGTTTCCTGGACGTGGCCGCCTTTACAGCTGCTTTTTGTGTCTCTGCTTCTGTCTCCTTGAACCCCAGTCGGCCTCGGCAGATGGCCGCTCACACTGAGCCTGGTTCTCCTGGAGGTTTCTTCCTGTTAAAAGGGAGTTTTTCCTCTCCACTGTCGCTACAAGCATGCTTAGTGTGAGGGATTGTATTTGAGTCAATGAGTCAATGCAATCAACTGGTTTCCTTAGATAGAAAACTTTGTATCAATTTGACTGTATGATCTGGTTGAACTGTAAAGTGCCTTGAGATGACATGTGTTGTGAATTTGATGCTATATAAATAAACTGAATTGAATTGAAATTGTCATGTTCAAGCCAGTCTGAGATGATTCCAGCTTTATGACATGGCACATTATCCTGCTGAAAGTAGCCATCAGAAGTTGGGTACATTGTGGTCATAAAGGGATGGACATGGTCAGCAACAATACTCAGGTAGGCTGTGGCATTGCAACGATGCTCAATTGGTACCAAGGGGCCCAAAGAGTGCCAAGAAAATATTCCCCACACCATGACACCACCACCACCAGCCTGAACCGTTGATACAAGGCAGGATGGATCCATGCTTTCATGTTGTAGACGCAAAATTCTGACGCTACCATCCGAATGTCGCAGCAGAAATCGAGACTCATCAGACCAGGGAACGTTTTTCCAATCTTCTATTGTCCAATTTCAATGAGCTTGTGCAAATTGTAGCCTCAGTTTCCTGTTCTTAGCTGAAAGGAGTGGCACCCGGTGTGGTCTTCTGCTGCTGTAGCCCATCTGCCTCAAATTTCGACGTACTGTACATTCAGAGATGCTCTTCTGCCCACCTTGGTTGTAACGGGTGGTTATTTGAGTCAATGTTGCCCTTCTATCAGCTCGAACCAGTCTGGCCCTTCTCCTCTGACCTCTGGCATCAATAAGGCATTTCCACCCACAGAACTGCCGCTCACTGGATGTTTTTACCATTCTCTGTAAACCCTAGAGATGGTTGTGCGTGAAAATCCCAGTAGATCAGCAGTTTCTGAAATACTCAGACCAGCCCTTCTGGCACCAACAATCATGCCATGTTCAAAGTCACTCAAATCACCTTTCCTCCCCATACTGATGCTTGGTTTGAACTGCAGGAGATTGTCTTGACCATGTCTGCATGCCTAAATCCACTGATTTGCCGCCATGTGATTGGCTGCTTAGAAATTAAGCGTTAACGAGCAGTTGGACAGGTGTACCTAATAAAGTGGTCGGTGAGTGTATGTATATATACATATATATATATATATATATATGTGCACATTAGCTGGTGCTTTTCTGACTCTCCTTCCACTGCCTGTTTTCCTGTTTCTTCCATGTGCACTTGGAAATGTAAAAACAGATGGAGTGGACTTAAACACTGCATTAATTCAGCTTCACTCCTATTGGCAGAGGTCTGTAGCTGCTAGTGGCTGCCTGGCTGCGGAAGAGATAACTAGCAATGACTAACTTCCATCATGTTCTTGCTTAGAAGAATGATGGATTGGGCCACATAGTAGAAAATTTGGCAGCAGGTGGGGCATTTGATCAATCCCTTTGCTGTATTATGCTGACTGTCTAGCTCAGGAAATGTATCAGTATGCAGGAGCACAGAGTTTTGCACTGAGTTTCGGTTTGTTTTCAAATTACTGTGGACAATATAATCTATTTTTTTTTTTTTTTTTTTTTACAATGTCCTGTCTGGCAAAGTGGCAATAAGAATAATTGTCTTGATGCCAAAAACAGCCCAACAGATTTTACTTTCACAAGTGTAGCAGTATGGCAATTGCCATACTGCTACACTTGTTTCATGCATATAAATTGCTTTATTATAATTATGCAGGGAGTTTTACAGTTTATATGGACACTGCAATGTAAATAGAGCAGAAAAACAGAGGAAGAAAAGGAAGGAAGAAAAAATAAAGAGAAAAGATGAAAGAAAGAAGAGATAGAAAGGAGATAATAACAAAACATTTTCAGTCTGCTTCATCACCTGTAAAGAGATGAAAAAAGAACAGCACAACCGAAACACATGGTAAGAGACATACAGTAAAGCAACACCTTGAAACTATCATCTGACTACTCTGTGTTACTTGAAGATATGAATGTGGGGTTTCTGTATGGAAGTGAATCTCTGAGTACCTGGAGCCAAGCACCTGTAATTGTTTGTGAGGGTGCACATGTGCATGTAAAGTTTATCCATAGAGAAAAATGCTCAATAGTGGTTGTGGAGAGCTGAAGAGGCAGAACCCACAAAGCACTGAGTCCAGCGCCGGGAGACCCAAAGCCCAAGGGCCCAAAGGGACCCCAAGAGCGAAGGCACCAAGGAGGGGCCAGCCCCGGAAATCAGACCCCCACCAAGGGAGGAGGAGAGACAGCACCGAAGAAGCCCCCCAGCCACCGCCATGCCGGCGCCCTGGGGAGCTGCGGGGACGAGTCCGCGGGCTCCGCCAGCAGCCGGCCTCCCCGAAGTAGGGCTGGTCACCGAACACCGCCCCCCCCCACGGCACCGACCAAAATGCCCCGGCCCCACAGAGCACCGAAACACGCCCCGGCACCAAGCCCCGGCGACCGGCCGCAACACCCAACGCGACTGCGCCACCCAGGAAAAACACACAGGCGGCCACGCCCACAGCCAGGGCCGACGCGCAAGAAGAGCAGACTGCAGCAGCCCGTGGGCAGCGCACAGCCACAGCGGAGCTAACACCGCCCCCCCCGTCCACACCAGCCCCCAACGCGCGCCGGTCGGAGCCACTCCAACCCCCACCAGCCACGATCAGCGGCAACAAAGCAGTTCCACCATGCCTCCAAGTGGGAAAACTCATTCAGCGCAGCCAGCCCATCCACACCAGCCCCCCAACACCACCCTCGCCGGAGCCGCCCAGACCCCCACACACCAGCTGCGAGCTGCCAGCAGGACCTCCGTCCAACGGGCCCACCCGCCCCCAAGAAAACAGACATGCCAATCCACCCAAAGAAAAAAAAAAAAAAAACGGCAAGCAAAAAGGCCCTCACAATGCGACAGTGGAAACCAGACACCGACCCACCCGCAACCGTTCCCCCCCACTGAAAAAAAAAAAAAAGTCCCCTATGCAAGAGGAGAAATGCAAATGGAAAAACCAGAGCACATAACAAAACCCAAGACCTGCACCTCACCATGCCGTGCAGCTCTCCTCCTCCCCGAACTGATACCACAAAACCGGCATCGGAAAAAGCATCGCCCAGGAACCGGCATCGAAGCGAAGGCACCGGCACAGAAAATCCCAGAACAACCACCCCAAAGTGAATCCAGTCCCGGGCCCCAGGGATCCGAGGCCCCAGGGGCGCCAGACCCCCAGACAGGAGCCCCAGCAAGGCCCCGGCCGGCCGGGTGCCCGCAGAGAGGCCGCCAGGAATGAGCCAGCAGCCACCCGGGCATCCGCCCACAGACCCGAGCTCCACCAGTGCACCGGCGAGCCCCGACACCAGCCAGCGGAGGGAGAGCAGGACAGGGGACAATATAATCTAAACACCATACAAATCATTTTACATTTATCATACAATGAGGAAGAAGGTCTTTAAAAAACGACCATGATGCCTTTTGTGATTGCTTTTACATGAAACTGTAATTATTTCATTTATAACCCACATAAATATTCCAAGGGCACTATTGGAGCGGATAGGGCCACATAATAGTAAACTTGGCAGCAGGCGGGGTTAGTCAGATCCATTTGCTGTTTTATGCTGATTGTCTAGCTCAGAAATTATATACCAGTGTGCAGGAGCACAGAGTTTTGCACTGGGTTTCGGTTTGTTTCCAAAATAAAAGCATGTGTTGTAGGCAAAATATTGTCCGCATTTAATCAGACAAAACATATATTAAGAAACTAGCAGTTAATATCGTCCCTAAAATATGTTAAAAAATATGGACAAAATAATTTAAACACTATACTAATCATTTTAAAATGTATCATACAATGAGGAAGAAGGTCTTTAAAAAACTACCATGATGTATTGTGTGATGTGTTTTGTCACTGCTTTTACATTAATGTGCAATTATTTCATTTATAACATACATAAATATTCCAGAGGCACTATTATAGCAGTTGGGTCCCTTATTGGTGGTTGTTCCCTACTGCTGTCAGTTGGAAACAGTTGTCACCTATGATATTACTTCAAACAGAAAGTGAAAGCATTACTGATTTCCGCGTTAAGTAAAGCTGTCAAACCTGTTCAAACTAGATAAGCTGTGCACAGCAACAGGAGTAGGGCATTTGAAGTGCCACTTCAACTGAGCAAATGGTTTGAAACTTTTTTCATAAAAGGAAAATAATGGTTGAGATAGAAACACGGATCGGGCACATTTGGGAGGTGTTTTTTGCTCTTCAAATTGTTGCCAGACCTTTGGCCGAGTATCGGTCAGCTATGGTATGTTATGAGATACATTTTCACTTGAAAATTTTGCAAAACAAATCCAATTAACAAGTAAAACTTCTAAACTTCTACTGATTTAGAACAACATGGTTGGAAACTATGATTTGATTCCCCCTTCAGCATACGAACAGCCGGAAATGGACGGTAAGGTAAGTAACATTTTGCTAGAAATCTTTGCAATGAGATATCAGATCTTTGTTTCTTATAACAGTTACTTTCCAAATGTCTTTCTATCCTCTCTGCATTTAGGCAAGAAAAGTTGCTCTTTTAAGATTTAGTTTAAATATTTTTCTGGTTGTCTCAGCAGTCATCTAGCAGTCTTCTATGTGATTGAAGATAATGAACAACTGCTTTGCCTGTTTAATGTGTATATTATGTAAAACCACAGTTTAATTTAAACAGCATTGATGTTTAATATGTGCATAGCTTTTTTAGAACGAGCCTCATGAACATCTGGTATGTCTTTCATGATTTATTTGTACATAAAAGGAACTGAGAGAACAGTTCTTATGTTGTCTGTTCCCTTTATTTCTGCTGCATCGATTTTTATGGGAGACAGTCCTCTGATAGATGGGAATTCACGCAGCTCCATGTGTTCACAATAACATTTCTCAAATTATTCTTTTAGGTGTATCGGTGTTGATGAGTTTAGCCAAAAAATGCATAAAATCTACAAACCCCTTTTTTCAACACTATAGCTAGACATGATCAGCTAAACATGATTAGGCTATCACCAAAGCAATGTAGCTAATGCAATGTAGCAAATGTCTGTCACATCGCTCTATCTTTATTTAAAAAACGTCATAGAGTTGGAAAGCAAATAAAAAATTTAAACCATCTGAGAGAAATTATTTACCAGGCTGGGTAAAAAGGTCTGTATGAGAGCAAAAAGGAGAGTAAAGTTTTCCTCAGCTTCATTAATACCTGTAGCTTTGGAAGCAGAGTCTGTGAATGTACTCTTTGGTTGTCAAATCCACTATAGGACTTCAGAGTTGATAGACAAAGAGTTATTTTTTCCATTTTAACACTGAATTTTAACTACTACCATGTGACAACTCAGAGTTATATCTGTATGGTATAACTCTATTACTAGGTAAATTAACACAGTCTTTGTTTAAAGTCTGCTAACACTATATTATTGAACACTTTTCAATTTGTCATGCAGAGTGTCCCAGATGCTGCAGCCCCAGGGAACAAGCAAGAGCTAGCTCAGGCAAACAGAACAGGAACAGGCAGAATGAGAGGTCAAGGAGTCCGAAGCCAGGTCATGCAAACAGATCAGAAGAGTAACAGGCATTCTCAGAGGTTCAGGAGTCTGAAGACAGGTCAGGCAAACAGAACAGGGACAGGCAAGCTCAGTGGTTGAGAAGCAGGTCAGGATCAGGTAATCAGAAACACTAAAACACTAAGGAACGCTAAAAACACTCTCACCACAGGCTAGAGAGAAATAATTTGGTCCTGATGACTGGGAGCAAGCAACTTAAATGGAGGCAGGAGCAGGAGGGATCAGATGAGGAGTAATGACAAACCAGGCCGAATTGGAAAGGCTAAATAAGTAATTAAGCCACTTGCCAGTGCCAAGTTCATGACAACTACAGGTTAAAATATTGATGTCTTTATAATAATTAAGGATTGCAAATATAACATCTTTGCAAACACTACATACTACTAGAAAATAGAAACTAGGTAGATCAAATACACAATTTGGAAAGAAGAAAGAAGGGGTGGGGGTCTAACAGTCCATTCAAGAGTTTCTTTGGAAAAGCCCAAGTTAAGCAAGATGTATCAATGCTTTCAGTAGGTATATGTTAATAACAATGAATGCAGTCAACATTGTTGTTTCATTTACGCTACAATGGGTAATGTCATAATTCACAAATGTAACATGATGAGCATCCTATGAGGCTTTGCGAAAAGAGCTCTTTTGACAGTGCGAGCCGTAATTCGTTGACTGAGGCGCAGAATCCTCACAACAGGAGTGGTACTTGCAGCAACAGGGTAGTTTATTTAACCAAGGGTGAGAAATCACTTTTCTCATCCACTTCACAGCTGGAATGAATCGCAATGATACACTGTAATCGGAAATTCTGAATTGCAGGAGAAGAAGGCAGTCAGCAAACCGACTTCTATGGAATTCACGTGAAGATGTTTCTCCCTTTCAGGCTGGGAGCCCCAGAGAAAAGAAGGCATTTAGGTTCAGTGTGTCAATTTTAAAGCTGTATGACAGAGGTCTGGCTTGCCTGCATCACAGTTTTCCAGCAGCTGACTCGTATCACAGGCATGACGTCTGGGGGTTTGTTGTGCTTACATCGTCCCGGTTTGAGCTTTTTGCATCTCTCTAGAAGGAGCACACAGCACCATATTCATGGGATCTGCCTGCATCTGCCTTAAAAGGCCTTGAATTTTAATTTGGCTATCAGCTATTTTCCTTGAAGAGACATGATCCCAGTCACAAGGGGGTCAGACTGTAATCATGTGCTCCAGCAGTGTTTGTACGACAACAATAATAAATAAAACAAATTCAATAAATATCTTTATTGAGGTTGTTCCATAATTATACTTAATTTACTGTAAAGCTCTGTTCTATTATTCTGATTCTGAGTATTGGTTTGTTTTTTAAATTAAAGGTACCTGTTCTTTACATTTTATTTATGTCCTCTGCATCTTTTGTTTGCATTTTAAGAATTACCTAAATAGATTTATGTTCCTTTAGACAGGCAATTTATACACATAATTTATTTTCATTTTACATTTTACTGGTTCATTTAGTTTACATATAATTTTTATATTCCTCTCCCCTGTTTTTTTCTTAAACATAAATACTGTATGTTCTGTTGAAGAAACATCATAAAATGGCAGAATAAATCTAGCTTCCAGCTAAACCCGACAACAAAAATATTTGATTGCATATTTTGGTACTTGCAGTTTTTTACCACAAATACTAAAAATTCTTTATATTCACTTCCAGCCGCTATAAACAGCAGCGGGAAATCCCCCGCAGGCTAGCCGCTAAAGAGATTTTCACTGGGGATTCGCTGCTGGCTAGTGGTATGCTGTAGGTCTGGCGCTCCAAACAAGAAATGCATATTTTAGTGGGATCATAATCCTGATGAACAGACTGCACAGATTATGTTTTGGGGTCTATTTTCTCACTTAAAAACGTGCTAAAACTATGTTTCTAAATCATCAAACTAAATAAAGCCAAGCTGCTCTCTAGCTTGTAGTTACCGCACAGTGCATCAAGAGAATCGAAAAATTCAAAGCATCTTGACCAGCAATAGGGGGTTTTCAGGTGACGTCACGCTCACGTGACTACCGTACTCAGCGCGTCCGCCATATTGGGTGGCAGCCTTAGGCAGTATTGACAGTGAAAAATGGTGAAAACGTGTGTAATTGTTGGTTGCACGGCCCGTGGAGGTGGAGATCAACGCTCTTTCTATCGCATACCAGCCGTAATCGTGAATCAATGTGAAAAAACAAAACAGCTATCTGAACAACGGCGTCACCTGTGGCTGACACGGATATCCAGGTCCGATTTGGACAGTGTTAAGCTGGAATACGCCAGAGTCTGCAGTGCTCACTTTGTCACAGGTAATTAACTGTCAAGCATTTAAAACATGTAAGAATATATTAATAATAGGGCTTGGGCGTCATGACGTATTACTTTCCGTGGCCGCAATGTTGACTGCCTCCGCCGCCGCTACTCAGACTACTGCCTATGACTACCGCGTACTGGACTCCCTCTCTCAGCCGTGTTTTAATTTGATTAATTTCACCTTAACTTGATTTCAACCAGCGGGAAAAGGCTCAAATATGTGAGAAACCCGGAGGGTTTAGGGAGGTTTGGCAGTTAATGTTACTAACCAAACCTTTGAAACACATAGCAGCTAGTTAAAAGTACATTACATGCCTGAGTGGTTGTTAGCACTAACGGTTAGCACTGTTTGCTGGCTTTATGAGCTACAGCTCCTGAACCCATCCATTCGTAAACTGCACATGAGACTCCAAGGACTTGTAGCTTTGGAACTGTTCGCGCACCGCCGGCCGTTAGCCACCTAGCATAGCGAGCCCTGCGTCGGATTGTTTACATTTTTGCCATCTTATTAAAACTCACCTGTCCACGTATGTGTTGGGAGCTGGAGAAAATCCCATCTTTCTCCAGCAGAGTCCGCCGTGGATCCTCTGAGGGAGCCTCCTGCACAGGTGCAGCTCATCAAGATCATCAGAGGATCCACTACATAAGCTGTCTTCAGACCTTGCCTCAACGCCGCAGTGTTGTTCCAGTTGGTCAGCGCTAAAGCCTTGATCTCAGTGATTATCTCCATGACTCTAATCCCTAGTTGGATTCTAACTTCTGTTTCTGTGCCTCTAGGAAACTCGTGCTTCCTCCGTGAAAGCTCTGGAAGAGCTAACCTGCCGAGCCGACCCTCAGAGCCAAACCCTGAAGATCCTCAGACAACCTCCAAGCAGCTCTGGGCTAGAGCTGGGAAACCAATGCCAAGGTCTGCTCAAACTAGACGTGAGACGCTGAAGCAGCTAACGGACTCTGCTACTAAATCCTTCTCCAGAACCAACAGTGACTCTCCCAAAGAGAACCTCAAGAACCCTCAAGGTACTATCTGTGCTTCATTGGAAACCAAACCCCGTCAACAGTCTTTAACTGTGCTGTCTCTCACGCAGACTCCGGTGAAACCAGAATCCAGGCCCGAACCAGCCTTCAGCATATTCAGTGTGATTGTGCAAATAAACTTGTTAAACTTTTCATCCTGTGTCCGTCAGTGGTGTTCTGCATCTTTGGGTCTCCATTAAAGAACCGATCATGACAGTATGATGGCGATTTCCTTCATGTACATCACTTCGACATCTCGTACCCAACCAGATGTGAACTGGTTGTGAGCCTCTAGACCCTTGTACGCTCTCATTTCCTCAAGAGTGTGCAGAGGGTTTTCACTGAACACCAGGTAATGAACTATGTCACCGTGCTGTACATTTGGCCAATCATCTGGATTAGTGCTAAACAAGGCACCGTGGAGGGCATAGGGGTCCATATGGTCGATCACGGAACATTTCCTCAGATATGTTCCATGATCTGGTGGCTCTAGCGTGCTGGCGTACTTATCCATTCGCGACATGATATATATGATATACG